GGGGACAATAGAGACAAAACAATAAAGAAATGAGGATTTCCCAAGCACAACTATTGATAAGTGGTTTGGAATGCTACCAAGCTAAGTTTTCTTTAACCATCTTAAGATCTACAAAAACAACAAAAGAGTCTGGTGGCACCTTAAAGACTAACAGATTTAATTGGGCATAAGCTTTCGTGAGTAAAAACCTCACTTCTTCGGATGCATCCGAAGTCTTTAAGGTGCCACCAGACTCTTTTGTTGTTTTTGTAGATCTTAAGATGGTTAAAGAAAACTTAGCTTGGTAGCATTCCAAACCACTTATCAATAGTTGTGGTTGGGAAATCCTCATTTCTTTATTGTTTTGTCTCTATGGTCCCCACTTCCCTATTGTTTGTCTGTATGATCTCTGTCTGGTTCTTTGATTGTTTCTGTCTGTTACATAATTGATTTTGGTAGGTGTAAATTAATTAAGGGGGTGGGGTATGATTCAACGGAGAATTTTGTTACAATGTTAGGATTGGTTAGTAAAATTTTAGTAAAATGATTGGTTAAGGTACAGCTAAGCAGGACTCAAGTTCCACTCTGTAACCTGGAGTCCAAAAAGAAGACGAGGAGAAAGAAGAGAAAAAAGACCTGGAAGAAGAAGAACTCACCTGTAAGAGAAACCGCTCCAGATCCTTCTGGGCCCTACCAATAAACCCATTCCACTGAAACCTCCCTGCCCCGGACCCTGCCCCTCAGAGCCTCCATGTCCCCTGGCCACAGCACTATGGGGGCATCAACCATAAATGTCATCGAGTCAATGGGACAATGAAAGGAGACGTCCAGATCCCAGGGAGGGGCGTTCCTATGGAGACCCACAATTGTCCAGAGTCCCCAATATCAACAGGGATTTTGGGGTGAGGGGGTCCTGCTCCTAGAGAGGCTGCCCAGAACATCACGAGATACTCTTCATGGTGACAGTGACTCTGTGTGTGATTCGCTCTGGTAAGAGGTTGCATCAGGCAGCAGTTTAGCAGAGATAGTCTCCTGTCTACACACCAGGCTCGTTGGCTACTAGCCCTGAGCCTGGTCCGCAAGGTCTTCTCCCCTACCTCGGATCCCAGAGGTGTCACTTGTCAGTGCTTTGTCAGTTCCTTCAGGTGATTCGTGGGGCCAAATTAACCTGTCACTGGTCTCTAGACAAAACCCCTTTATGTCTGCTCCAGCCAGGGCTCTGCTCATGGAGTTGTCCCTGCGAGGCCACTGAGGTTATTTGTCAAGCCCTGTTAAAATATCTCTGGGCTGCAGGCAAAACCTCTCACATCCACCCAACTCCCAGGGCTCCTTGCTAGCGTTACAGCACAAATGGCAGCCAGCACAATTTCCTAGTGGTAGCCGTTACCGAGATCTAGGTCCAGATGCCCTTTAGAAGGCAGCAGGGCGCATGCTCAGAGGCAGAAACTAAGGTACTTTTACTCTGAAAATATAGCTGCTGCTGAGTGAGCTTTGGCATCCAGGGGGTTCGTCAGGAGATTTGTGTGTCTCAGCGGACCCTAAACTGGGATTTAGGCTCCTAATCCCAGATTTATGTGTTTAGCCTAGGG